AGACGTAACGTTGCGTCACCAGTTTTACGGTGGCTTTAACGCCTGGATGGGATAGACGATGAATCGACTCGAATGCAGCTCGGCGAAATGACTCGGTGACGTAAGGACGCGCTGTTCGCGTGGAGACGTCGCAGAGTACCGATACGTCGCAGCCTGGGATTCGTACCAGTTTGAGCTGCAGGCCTGTATTACCTGTTCGAAATCTCTCGAGTTCCTCATCCTGCTGTTGTGCTGCTGCCAGAGCTTGGAAATCAATCGAGGTTTCCACCGCCTCGATGCGAGAAAGAGTATCTGCGACAACATTTTCGTTCCCTGCTATGTGGCGAATGTCAGTCGTGAATTGACTGATGAAGTCCAGGTGTCGTATTTGGCGGGGCGAGGACTCGGTATTCTTCTTCTGAAAGGCATACGTGATTGGCTTGTGGTCTGTGTAGATGGTGAAAGACCGCGCCTCTACCATATGCCTAAAATGTTTGACTGCGATATAAATGGCTAGTAGTTCTCGATCATAAGCCCCGTAGTTTGACTCGGTGGGACTCAGTTTTTTGGAAAAGAAGTCCAACGGTTGCCAGTGACCGTCGACCTTCTGCTGGAGGACTGCTCCGACGGCGAAATCTGACGCGTCCGAAAAAATAGCTAATGGTGCGTTTGGCTCGGGATGTGCCAATAATGTGGCTCCGGCGAGGCTCTCCTTGCACGCCTCGAATGCGGCCACCGTTGCTGGTGTCCAGTTGACCGGAGTTTTTCCTTTGACGTTGCCCTGGAGGAGGTCGTTCAAAGGTGCTTGCGTCTCTGCCGCCTTAGGTAGGAATCTTCTGAAAAAATTCAACATACCCAAGAACTGACGCAACTTTTTTATTGTATTTGGCTGCGGGAAGCTGCGGATTGCTTCGACCTTTTCTGGAAGTGGACGTGTACCTGCGCCGGAAACGAGATATCCTAAAAATTTGACCTCTGGCTGGCCGAAGACGCATTTCATGGGATTGATAATGACGCCGTACTCTCTCAAACGCTGAAACACAGTTTCCAAGTGCTGGAGGTGTTCTTCTGGTGATGCGGATGCGACGAGGATGTCGTCGATGTATGCATAGCAAAAATCGAGACCCTGCAACACCTCGTCCATGAATCGCTGGAACGTCTGCGCTGCGTTACGTAAGCCGAACGTCATGAATTGAAATTCAAACAAGCCGAATGGGGTGGTAATGGCAGTCTTCGGAACGTCTTCTTCTGCGACCGGGATCTGGTTGAATGCGCGTACCAGATCGATCGTTGAAAATATGATTTTGCCGTGTAAGGATTGCGCAAAATCTTGGATGTGCCTCACCGGGTACCTGTCGGGGCAGGTTCTCGCGTTGAGGGCACGATAATCTCCGCATGGCCTCCATTCGTCGCCCTTTTTGGGCACCATGTGAAGCGGTGAAGACCATGAACTTTGGGAAGGGCGGGCAATTCCTAGCTGGACCATGGCGTCGAATTCTTTTCTTGCTGCCTGGAGTCGGTCGGGCGCGAGTCTTCGGGGACGTTGCGCAATGGGAGGGCCCGGCGTGGTTACGATGTGGTGGCGGGTGGAATGTTTCACCGCCTTAGGGGTTCCGTCTGGACGTGTGACATCGGGAAACCGTTGGAGGAGTTCGTGGAACGGTGAACTTCCGGCGATGGTTTTTACGGACGGGATCTCACACTCAGTCACCTCTCCGATGGAAGTGAGTTGGGTAATTTGATCGTGTAGTCGCTGGTTTCTTATGTCCACCAGGAGTCCGTAGTGAGCCAGGAAGTCGGCTCCGATAATGGGTTTCACCACGTCCGCGACAACAAATCTCCACGTAAAATCGCGTCGTAAGCCTAAATTCAACGACAACGTGATTGTTCCGTACGTTGCGATGACGGTGCCGTTTGCCGCGGAAAGTTCATATGCGGACTTCGTACGCGGTTTTGGTAGCAGGGCATGCGGGAACACACAGAGATCGGCGCCGGTGTCGATGAGGAATTTTTTGCCTGTTGTCCTCTCGGTGACGAATAAACGGCTCGATGTTGTTGTAGGGGTGGTGGGGCAGGCGTCAATGGCCGTCTTTAACGACTGCCCTCGGCGTTTCCCGCCGGTAGGGAACTGTACCTACACGGCTTGTCGCATCTTCTTGACGTGTCGCCGAAACGCCAGTGGTAATAGCAAATACCGCTGTCGCCTTTCGTTCGATGACGGGATCCCGATCGCGAACGCGAACGCGACGATGTCTCTTGCCGCGAGTCTGAGGGCGAACGGTTCTGGGGCTGCGATACCTGGGGGACTTCTATTTCAGCCAGCCTCTGTAGGAGGATCGCCACGGTGTCTTCCATCCAGGTTAATTTTTCCAACTCGGCTGATGACAGGGGCGCGGGTGAATTCGCGTTTGACGCCATAGTTTTTATTTCACTCGAAATTCCGCACAATACTCGTCGCGATCACTGGTAATACTCACGTTTTTTTCTTCTTTCAATCACGTCGGGGTCACCAGTTGCGGGTATCGTTGGTGATTTAAAAGCGACGGTACGGTTTTTAGATTTTATTTCGTTGTTTACTGTTCGAGGGTGCCAGGGAGAAGAAGGAAGGGTGTTTAAAATGGTACACAGGTAAGCTCGGATTTGAAGAGGTGGAAGTAGGTAAAGAAGGGTTTAGAAAGTTCCAGAAGCGAAAAGAGAAAGTATGAAGAAGTGTAGGGCAGGTAAACGAAGGATAGGAAATATTTACATTTATACAAATATTACGAATGCCCTCAGGTCAGGGGCGGCTCATGACTTGAAAAATTGATGAGGCACAGCACAAAACGCTCTAAAATATAAATAAATCAAGTTTACTTAAATATTTTCTATTTAGTCAAATAAACAAATTTGTAAACTCATTTAACTGTCCACAAAGAACCAACGTGAAGGTGTAAGGAGGTCTTGCAAGGAAAGGATGAGAATGACAGGACAAAAGGAAAGGGAAGCGTGGTCAGAAAAAACTAATATAACTTCTAACAAAAAACAAAATTAAAATAAACTTTAAAGGAAACATATCGAAAAAGATCAAATACAACATAAAATAAAGCTAATTTGATTTATAACAAAAAACAAAATGAAAAAAATATAAAATATAAATACGGATTTATTTAAAAAAATTTTTTATGGCTCAATTAACGATTTACTCAAATCAGGAACCGGCGGTTTTAATTCCTTAACTACATACAATTTATCATCATACGTGAAAGTAGAAAAAACAGAACTGCCATTGTCATTTAACGTTAGTAGAGAAAAATTCCGATTTACTCGTAATCTTAAATAACGATTACCGAAATCAAATTATGACAAGCACAAAGCACTAACGCGACCCACGCAAACGTAGGCACTTTTAAGACAAAATTCTGTTACCGAAATTTTGAATCAATTTATACACACACAGATTTGTGGCAAAACAATCAACGGCCTAATTTTGAATACTCCTGCGAATGCAGACTGCATTGCAATCGCACGTTCCCCGCGCGCAAATAATATAGTTGTCCATCTCTTTTGCAAGCACGGAAATGAGGCTAGCCTCAATTTTGTCTTTTTTCAACTCATACCGCTTATAAGTGTATTGCAGGTTGCTTGCCTATTAACAACATGATTTCTATATATGCTGTAGAGGCAAGCTTCGAGTCGGCCTCATTCGCGTCACAAAATACATGTTGTGCCGAGTGTTTAAGCGCGCTGTTTAATTAAGGGAGCAACGAGTACCTACCGAGATAAAAATAAGAATATAATTTTCTATATTTATTTTTAAAATTTTAGAAAAAAGACACAAATTATTGGCCGAAATGTGTCCGTATAAAATAATAAAAATCCTAATAAGGCGTAAAATTCATTGGTGAGGCACTGCCTCACCTGCCTCATAGGACAAGCCGCCCCTGCCTCAGGTAGAACACCTGATTTTGTGGGAACGGTTGTTCCTACAATATTATTATTATTATGTCGTGGATATGGATTCTAAAATCATCAAGTAACGTTCAGTTAACGTTAGTTTTCTCATAATTTTCTTTGCGATACGTAACATCGGTTGCGAGCCACTGAGGTCTGCCGTGATCCATACGCAGCGCATAAATTTCAACCGCCTAGCCCTATTTTTTTAGTATTACACTACATTTATCCAAACTGATATACGTGTCTTTGCAAAAATGTTGATAACGTCATCGCAAGTTTTTTAAAATGCTCCGCTACAAAAATGTAATGAGAAAAAAAACATAATAGGCATGCCGTCGTCACGTTTCCGACAGCGAGGGAAGTACTGTCTAAACTCTTTAGACCAATTTTTTGAACGTGGTATGGATGTAGGCCTTGTTCTTTTAATGTACAATGCACTACAAACTGTAAAACTCCAACTTCAGTTGCAAGTCCGCGAGTACTGATGTCGGGCTTTTCTTCGACGCGTTCCAAAATTTGTTCTTCAACTTGCAGTATTCTTCCGGTCCTATCACGGGCACGATCGTGAGTTTGAGGCTTGAAGGTACCATGATCTCAGAGATGCTGTACCACTGATGTAAATGTCCGCGCACACTGAATCGCGCGATTTAGAAAGCGTTCGATTCACAATTCGCGAGCCAACTTGGCTTTTCCATCAGTCGCACCATAAAGCATTACGGTCTGAATTGTAAAAGTTTACTATCATCAAAGACGTTAACCGAACACACGACGGCGACCAACTGATACACGACTAGCCCTTATCGTGTTTTTGCATGTTGCTTATCAGTGCACCCCTTTTTTGGTTCTTAATCCAAGTCGTTCTGTGCCATTCATTGTAGTAGTTAAGATAGGTCAAGAAACACTACTAGTGGCGTGTATATCAAATTATTATAAAATCTATACATATTATGCTTGGTAAGTATACAACACACAGTGCGCGCAGAGGCCAGATCTATAGTTGTCTGACCTTGGCGAGAACACGTTTGGACGTGGCGCCATCTGTAGGAGCACGTATGAATACGACACCGCCCACATGTTGTTTACGCAGGTACAACCGTATTTTTTAAAAATGCCACCTCACCTGCAGGTTGATACATTACTTACCTGTAATCGTGGAAGGAGTTCCGCTGGTTCCGCCCCCTTTTGTTTTGACATTTGTGATACAACTTTACACGACTTCCGGACAAATTTTCCACGAAAATGTGTTGTTCAGTGGCGGAAAACCGTTGCAGTGAATGAATTGAATTTTTTTTTAATGTGAAAACAACGAAATTCACAATGAGTGAGAATAATGTTCCGTCCAAGAGTGAAATAGGCCAAGGGGACAGTGTTAACCCTACACCTCAGCCTACACCAGTCAAAGCATGGGTTCAGTTCGAAGAAGATGAAAAAAATGCCAATATTAAAGATGCCCCTGCTGTGATAGCTACTGAAAGTGTTCATGTCAACTTGGAAAGGAGTCTTAGTAAACCGGCAGAAAATAATGTTGCTGTGCTGGATCCAAAACCTTTGAGAAATGTTGAGTTACCAGTTGCTACAGTGGAACCTATACGACAAGGATTTTGTAAGTTTCTGGTACATTGTATGAGGCGTTAATAGATTTGCACCATTTGTTTTAGCTAATGGTGATATTATTGTTACACTGTTACCTGTGAATACGCGATTTCCATGGATTACACCTGCTCAATTCCGTCCAGAATTAGTGCCTGAAGAATTAATGGCTCAAGGTTTGACTGTAAGTTGTTTAACTTAAAAAGTATAGGTAGTAAAAGTATAGTGTGTTTTGTAACTGAAATAAATAATAATAAGTGGTCACACAAATTGACACAAATATTATAATTCAATATATTAAACTTTACATATTTAAGTGTTACTGACCAGAATAGCCAATCTAATCAAAATATTATCTTTTAATAATTATTTTAAAGTTACTTAAATTCTACAATTTTTTTAAATTTTTAGTGACTAGTTTTGTACGTTATTTTGGTGTTTCAATTACTTATTTCAAGTGTTTGCATATAATTAGCAGTATATATCTAAAAAGGAATTTAACAATATTCAAGGTTATGCACTGCTGTAATTATTCAGCACTCGTGGGACAGCCTAGTTACAATTCGCATCCATAATCGTCTTTCTGATGATTTAATAACAATTCAGCGGGCGATTTTTTTTTTATTAAATAAAATATACATGGTGTTATTGACGTTTAATTGTAACCATCGGCCTTATTTTTGCTTTAAAACGCCTCTACAAATTTTTAAACATTTAAATAAAGACAGTAATAATTTCCAAACATTACAGATATAATTTTATGTACCTACAATATCTACACGATATGCCTAAAATGCATCTAAAATGTCACCATAATCAGTCCAGTAGATTCGGAGATTACGCTCGAGAAGTAAAAATTAATAAATTTTCCTTATGACATCATCAACGTTCTGGAGGGAAAGAACAAATGTTAATCGGTATTTTATAATAATTGAATCAATGTTAGCGTTACTTACAAAATCTACTTATTTCATTCTCGTCGTTGGCTTGTACGAGAGGAAAAAACATGAAATTGACCGTTAAATTTTTCGTGAAAACGTTACACATTAATTCTAATATATCAAATAAAAACAGGATAGTTATCAAAAAATAACGTGCGTTTTTGTTTGTTAGAAGAACACTCAACATGACAGAACGACGAAACCCATTAGTATCAAAATTGCAGTTGCATAAAAAAGAAAACATTTAATACGTTCAGGAAATATTTTCTCGAATGATTACTTAAAACTCAGCGCCTCGTTGAAAAAAAAAATTAGTTACACTAAATAATATGCACAGTATGTGGAAAAACTCATGTATGTAGTTTATAATTCTATGCTCACTATTTTTGAATTAAGTTTACATCAGCTTAAGTTTTTTTAGTGTGTTATAATAGTTACTAAAAAACTGTAATCCTGTGCAAAATATAAATTGAATCCAATAACAGTACTGTGGGATACGCGACACGATTTTTTTTTATAGGAACATTGTTTGGTTCTATGGCCTTATTGTTCATGAATTACTTTTAACACGTGCCTATAATTAATTACACGTCTGTGCTATAATACTATCTTTGAAAACGGAGCTCAGAAACTATATTTGGCACACATGAATTATATAGATTCGCTGTTGGAAAATACAATAGGTACCTACACTAAAAACATACTTACTATATATCATAATTTATGCTACCGCAGTGTAGAGATTCAATAAATCTACAACTGTAATCTATACATTTTATAAAAGACATTTGGAGATTTTCATCACCTCGAGAATTATTGTACAAACAATGATCTAACGTCATAGTGTATATTCGTCTCTTTGTAGGACAAGGAAAGAGTCTAGTAAAACTGAAAACAAAAACGTGTCTGACTAATTATTATTATTATTAAATATATCTGAAATATATATGTATTATCAATATATGTATAATTATCCACAAGAGGTTTCAGTACTGCTGTTTTGAATTATGTCACCAATAATTACATAGTTTCATTTAATACACCTATGTTAACTTGCAATATCCGCTCAAGTATATATAAAACTTTTTTAAATTTAATTGAATGTCTACATATTTTTCTTTGTTTCAGTTAACTGTGGAAGAGTATGTTCAAGCTATGGAACTTTTAGTCAATGACTTCAGATTTACATTGTACAATGTTTGCTATAAGCGAGTACTTGTGGTTTGGATATTTCTTGCTTTTTCCGTACTATTTGGTCTTTTATTTTCTGGTTTGTCGGGTCTTACATTATTTGGGTTGGGTATCGGTTGGTTAATTTTAAACGCGGCTGCAATTTTCTTTTCCATGTGGTTAAAATATAAATTATCTCGTAATTTAGAAAGGTGTTTGGCACATGTAAATAAACAACTGCTCAGGCATAAAATCGTGATAGCTTTAGACGACAGAGGAAAAATATCTTGTCATAAGGTCAATCTGTGTTTTTTGTATATGGATTCTGCTCCGTGCATAGCACGTCTGCAGACAAGCATTGACCAACAAGAAAGAGATCCAGCAAGCGGGTGGGAGCAGAGAATGGATATTACAGCAAACGATATTGTTATTCAAGGGAGTCGAACCACTAGGCTTTCCAGAAAACAGGTATGTAAAATTGGAGTAGACAGAGAATTTGTTAATAATAATTTTACTATAAAAGGAATATGTTCCGTGACAACCGTAGGACTTAACTGTCACGTTTTAATTTTAGAGGCTGTATTTTATTCACTTTGCACAATCTTACTAACCGTTGTATTTAACAGTAGAGGTGCAGATTGGAGTGGTGTAAAAATGTATGTAAAATGAACTGTCGCATGCATGAATCACACATTTCGCATTTAAATAAATCGACAGTAAAATCTGCAATCTCAGAAAGTATTCAATCCAAAATCATATCTCGATTTCAGTACGTAACATCGGTTTCTTTCATCTTCACGATTTAACAGCTTACAATTCAGTGTAAATGAAGTATTGATTCAGATGTTATTAGTTAATCATTAACAAGATTAGCCATGTTTTTGAAAAACAAAATTTATAGTTCATAAAACGAATATTTTTAAATGCAGTCTTATAATTAACTACTTCAAAATCATATTGGTTTGAGAAGTTTGATACAAACGAAGTTCAAAACTGTCGAAGATTAAACATTGTGGTGATAAAGTAATGTATAAAATTCATAAACAACCCAATAAAGCAATAAATTACACTTGCTCAAGTACGGTGTTGTGGTGACGCAATTCAAAAAGAAACTTGTTTTTCATTAGTTTCCTTACAAGTTATTAGCTCAAAAGTTTACAAAATTACAAGTCATGTTAGAATGTAATAATAGAAATAACTTGAAAATTAAGTTGTCCATCAGTTGATCAGTATACATTAAATAATAATAGACACAACTTTTATGTAAAAGAGACATTTATTCTCATGGTCAAATTATATGAAGGGTGTTCCATTAAAAAGGTTTCGTTTATTTCTGCACACCTAAATGTGATAGAGCATTGTTTGTTACTCCAACAAAATTGCAAATACGGATTGTATTGTGTGCAGCGAGTTTGAACAAAAATTACTCATAGCGGGATTCAGCTGACTTTCCAGTAAATATTTTGTTTAATCATTTTATGATCGTCTGTTGGCCAGTTAGACTGATCTGTGAAATATCAAATGAAGTATTTTGAAATTCTACGTGTACTTCGAAGTTGTCATTTATTTGGTAAAACGTTAACAAATGTTTATTAGTTTGTTCGTTAAAAAAAATGTGGCATCTCAAAAAATCAGAGTAATTGCCTTTAAGCGTCCGATAATACTAAATACTTTAGTGAAATGTGTCGGCATTCTGTGTCAAATTTGGTGTCATAATACTGAAACCGTATTTATTTGAAAAATTTTGTTTGGAATTTTACAAAGCTTCCAAGTTGATTCGTGTACAGAAAAACCCTGTTTTTAGTTTAAAGTTGATTTAATAATAATAATACTTGAAATAATAAAGTTTATCCCATGAGATTTTGCCTACAAAAACATTTCATGCTTACTTGTTAAACATTACGTTCTCGTGATGAAAGTGTGAAAATTGAAAAATTAAGAAACATAAGCCGTCAGACATACTTCATTACAAAGTGGAAAACTTAGAAGTGCTTAATCTTTTTGAACTAAAAGACAAAAGTGCAAAAATATTTTTAATCAATGTTCCTAAAATATCTCCTCACTGCACCATCTCTGGCCTCTATTGTGATTTTTTAAATTGATTCGTAATTTTTTGTTGTAATTTAGGGTCGAGCAGAGCAGTTGTTCTTGCGTTATTTACAAAGGTGGGGAAAAGATTTTCTAAGGCGACGTTTAGATTGGACCTTGGATGAAATGTTGGGCAATCCGTCCAACCCTCTTCACGTAAACTCAGCACTTTGTCCATGTCAGTACGTCGAAGAAATATTGGCTAACAAAACACCAAGGACCGATGTTAGAGATTGTTGTCCTATTTGGTCAAGATTTTTGGCCAGACGGGGCATCGACTAAGTAATTCTCTCTCTTTCTTTTTTCAAGCAGTCGAATAATATTTTATGCACTTTTGTTTTTGCTCATTTGGGAAGACGGTTTTTATTTTCATTTTATAGTAACCAATTATAAGTACTACATGTGCATGGCGTTTTAATTGTTACTTTATCGCTTGTTTAGTCATGACAAGGTCATTAACAACACAATGCTAACATGATTATGTCGTGGGACTAACTGCACTCACAAATCACGCTTGTTATACGTAGTTTGATGTGTACAAAATACACTGAGTAGAGTTTTGAAAAAATGCTAAGCTCCTCACGTGATCATTTGCTACTCATTTGTTAATTTTTATACCTTTTTGTGTGTTTTGTTTTTGATTAATATGAGGCACAATCGCACCGTCAAAGTTTGTGATTTAATTTTTTTTTTCAGGAACGAGCAACATTATTGTATTTGCGTTACGCATCTCGCTGGGGTCGTAATGTTGTACGTGGATTGTTAGTTAGTCCACCGGCCTCAGGGGGGCGTCACTGTCCCTCACTCACATGTCCTTGTCAATTCATAGAAGAACACCTTCATTGTAAACCCCCAGGCAAGTTAACAGTAAAATCATTTCTTTCTGTTCCTGATCAACCCTATGACAGTAAATGCTGCATACAATAATTTTTATTTTTAAAAAATTTTAAATATTCATATTTAAAGTACTAATCCCATTTCCGCACTATCGTGATTAATGAGTGATATTTATTTTGTGACGTTATTTTTAGATTTTTTTAACATAGTTATTTTTTATACAAAACTTTTAGAGAATAACGCTATTTTTATTATTGTTTTAAATATAAAAAAAAATGTATGCAGAGACTGGTTCGCGGGGTTTGTTACTAATCATGTTACTTTTTGTTAAAAAAAAAAAAACTGCGCGAAAAGAGCGTCTATATCAACTAACCCAATTTTATTTCTGTCAACGTGGGTACAATTTGGTGAATTAACTGTAGGTATCTTTGATATCTTTTGTCTGGTAGCATTAATTGCTTATCTTTTTCTTCCCATCTGATTAATTTTCCTGCCTGTTTTTAATGTTCCTACTGTAATAAACTTCTTATTTATTACTGGATCACCCTGGATACTAATTGTTGACTAAACAAGAATCCTGAATAGCGTCTAATATAGGGTTTATTTCAAAAGCATGCTAAATTCACTTTACATTGTTTACATAATTAGAATAGTCGAAACTGGTACGGGGTGTCTAGAATTAGCATAAGAGTTGTATTATCTAAAATAGATTGGTCAGTAGAAATTTAAATTATTTGAATTTTTTATCAATTTACTACAAAGTTTTTTCTGATCAGAAATCTTATTGCAGTATTTAAAAAAGGCTAAAAATATCTTTAGAGACAATAACGTTGTACCCTTAGATCATTGTAGTTACTTTACTGTTGTTGATTACCACAGAAAAATCAAGCTGTTATTTTACCGCTAACAAATTCTTTGTTTTGCCATCTAAAAGCTAGTAAGGTAGGAACAAAGTCAATAATAAAATGTTACCTTGATTAAAAATATATATTGACTTGGCTCCTAACCCAAATTATGTTGCACAAAAAGACTTGCTATGTTAAGTTCAACATAAATAGAGAGAGGTATAGAAATGATACATTTTTAGTACCTAGAAAGGACCTCAAGTTAGAATAGCATACATGTTGACATGTTAACTTCAGAATGACGTCATAGCATATTTGTTTTGTTTGATGTCGGTTTTAGAGACTGTTATATAACTTGAAGTGTTACAAATATGTACTTAGAACCTAGTTTTAGAATAATAGTAATACATTCCGTCCATTTGATCTTTGTATATACAAATATTTTTATAAAATAAAATCATTCTTAGTATCATAACTTATTTCTTCCTGCTTTTGTGTGTACTAACCTGCAGTGAAAACTACAGAAACAAGGTAAGGATCTGCGTTCTTCTTTTGGATGGTGCGGGGTTTTCTTCTTAATTGTGCACTAACCATGAAATATTAGCATTGGGCATAACATCAGTCATAATTTTGTCATATGAACGCTATTCGGTGAAAAGTGTACTTAACATTTTTATATTATTAAGCTAAATTTTGTGTTGGAAGTACATGACCTTTGACAATTTTATCTCTTTTGTAAGGATAATTAATAACTTACTACTGCAAAAGTAGGTCAAACTAATCACTCAATGTAGCGTAGCAATTTACAATATATGTGATAAACTTCTTGAAATTTGTTATTCTTCATTTTACAGGATACCCATGCAGCCTTTGCTTCTACATGTCAGATCGTAATGTTCAATCAGTGGTTAATAATTTGCATTACCCTGTTTGATCATCAAACTTTTAACAGTTATGAAAATTTAAGTTGACTTTAATCATGGGAGAAGGTAATTAAAGCACAAGATCTAGATTAAGTACTTGTTAAAGCACATCAGTAAGAATAGGAATGCAGTAACAGTTTATTATAAAAGTATCCATTGTTAAAAATACTCAACTGTTATAAAAATACAAAAATAAATACTCAACACATAACTTATTTATTTTCAGGGATTACCTGAACGCTGCTTGAGGGTTGATATCCTATTCATAATGTCTTGTTGCAAATTATCTAGCTCACATTTTAAACCATCCAGTATGTTAGAGCTTCGTTCCAAATCTTGTGTGCCTTTCAAAAATTCCTCAATTCTTTCAAAATTGTGTTCTTTTGGGGGTACCTGATCTAAACAGAAGTATAAAGTGTTTCTTTGCTCTTCGTTTCTGTAAACCGCTTCGATGTCGCTAATAATTTGTTCTGTTGTTAAGCAGAATTTAATTCTTTGTGGCATAGTGCTAGTTCTTCTAAACATTACGTTCTCATACAATTAGAAATTTATAAATATCAGAACTGCAAAACTTTTACACTGTCATTTTTTCAAAACAGTAGATGACATAGTTCTGTGATGACATATCTCAAATCTCGATTAGGATCAAGGATTAGAGTGGATTAGAGGTTAGAGAACTAGAGCTGCCTTAGGGATTTTTAACTCTTACAAGTTAAATTTGACATTGGTGGATTATGATTTTCGCTCTGATTTTGACATTTGACCGAATTTGACGTGTTTGTTTGATATTTGACGGCGAATGAGTTGTGTATGTTGCAGTTTGTGTAAACTTCAACAAATTTAAATTTAATAGCAGAAAAAATGTCCGTCTTATGCCCAGAAACTCCTGCCCCCGGCTTCTCTTTTGCAAACTGCAAGCGGTAAGGAAAAATAATCACAAACTTTAGTCTTGCAATTGTTTCTGCACTGTCATCAACATAACCTATTTCAGTAATGCACTTCTGGAAAGTAAAGGTTTTCCGGTTCCTAAAGCTACAAAAACTGGAACAACAATTGTCGGAATCATCTTTAAAGATGGGGTGATTCTGGGAGCTGATACTCGCGCTACTGAAGACACTACAGTCTCTGATAAAAATTGCGAAAAAATCCACTACCTAGCTCCAAACATGTAGTAAGTATTTTGTAAACTGAGTTTCATGCAAATTGTTACACATTCTTCGTAGTTGCTGTGGAGCTGGTACTGCAGCAGATACCGAACAGACAACTCAGATGATATCGTCTCAATTAGAACTTCATCGTCTCTTTACAAATAGAGTAGCTCGTGTTGCAACTGCAAATCAGATGTTGAAACAATATCTTTTCCGCTATCAAGGACATATAGGTGCAGCATTAGTTCTGGGAGGTGTTGATTCAACTGGTCCTCATCTTTATTCCATATACCCTCATGGATCAACTGATAAGTTGCCATACACTACAATGGGTTCTGGTTCTCTTGCTGCAATGGCAGTTTTTGAGTCTCGTTGGAATCCAGATTTAGAAGAAGAAGAGGGTGTTAAGCTGGTTCGTGATGCAATTGCAGCTGGCATTTTTAACGATCTTGGGTCTGGTTCAAATGTGGACATTTGCATTATTCGTAAAGGATCAGTGGATTATCGCAGAACTTTTGATGAAGCTAACAAGAAAGGAGTTCGTCAGTCGTCATATCGTTATCCAAAAGGGACCACTGCTGTCCTGAGTAGTAAAACTATTGATGTTGAAGTTGTTGACGTAACTGTGCACCCGATTGAGCCTGAACATATGGATACAGCTTAAATGGCTTAGGTTTGATTGAAATATTTTTGCATATTTAAGGTCGTTTATTCATTTCTAATAAAGTACATATAAAAGATAACGTTTCTTATATTCGTAAAAATGTAATATAAAAATATATAATTTTTCAAAAATTCAACACCTATAAATTATAAGTTTCAAAAAATTTAATAGTGTAAAACTGAGATTTGTTGATTAGTTTTTGTGTACTATAAAGTCCCATGTGTCTTTCCACCTCAAATTTATTATGTCATTAGTTGTTAAAGGAGTTGCACCATAACACAGTACAGTAAATTTAAGAAAAACGTAAAAAATAGATAAAAGCCACAAAGATATGAGTAAAATAAATATATAATTAAAAAACTTGACTTTAAAAATATGAGTATTTAAATAATGAATATGTTCAATTAATGCAGCCAGTAATAGTGTTTTGAAAGTAAAAGCTGGCAAATAATGATGTAAAAATAAAGTACGTTCAACAAAAAAATAAGGTATATAGTGAAATAAATAACCTATCAAAAATAATTCACCAATGAGTTGAAACTGTTCCCACGTGTTTTCATCCAGATCATAACATAATCTCCTACGTCGAAGAAGATAAAATATTAACAAAACAAAATATATAAGAAGTCCAATTGTTCCAGAATACCAGAGCAATAAATTTCCTATGAGATGAATTTGAGCCTATAATATTAAAAGTTAAGAAAAATATATATATATATTCAGTACAACAGTCTTACATTACTAGTTGAAGAAACCCAATATGCAATTCCACGTGACATTAACGGCCATTCAAAAGGTTCGGAACTGTACATGTGATTCTGCACACTTTCAGTACCAGAAAACATCATTTTATAATGCAATTCAAAAAACTTTTCCCAAAATGTCAAAGAAGTCGCTGCAGTCGGGATCATTTCAGCAGTTACTAATTCTCTTTCACGTTCTTTTTGATCCTCAGCTGCAAATAAAAAAAGGAAACTAAAAAACTTAAAAAATAAATTGCGACTATTAACGTCAGCAAGAAACTAAATTTCGCGATCAAACTATTTGGTTTCATTAAATGGAAACTAACATTTTGTGTAACGATGTTCCTCAACGTTCCACACTGTATCATCTTGATTAATAATTCTATCAGCAGCAACTTCATGTTGATGGAAGCCCCAATCTGGTAACTGTCGGCCTGTAAATTTAAGAGCCGTATTTGTGTCAACATGAATCAGTCTTATCAATGATTGTATTGTATGCCAACTTTCTCCATTTTGATCTTTATTCAGAATCTCCACTCTCCATAGATTTTGTGCCGGCATGGATACGTTGTAGTCTATGTAACATGATACTTCTTGACACTGTGGTGAAACTGGAGCAGCCACATCGTGAGAATTTAAGGCACGGCTGGTTATACCTAAAAGTGTAATAAAGCTTTATTACTAAAATAACGTAGGTTTATAAATAAAGCGTTTGTGACAGAGCGTGTTTATTAGACAAGAAAATCTCTAGTTTACATTTTTTATTGCTTCCCTAATAGCTATATTTAGTCCATTTTAAAGGATACAGAATTAGTGTTTTTTTTTTCAGTACTTACACAGTACCAAAATAATGTAGGTTATCAATATTCTTAGAAATGCCTTATTATTCTGTTAATTTGAAATTCTGAGAACGTTTTAGGAATAAATAAATAAATGAACTGCTTAAAATAATTAAAAAAGGAAATAACAAGATTAATATGTTTACCGGCAAACGTTGCGCAGAGATGGGGATGATCCAAAAGGGTAATCAAATGATTAACGAAGGTAACAAAATACTTAAACATAAATGTTATATGCAGTGGAAACGGCAAAAAGGTGGAATATGTGAAACAACAATCAAATACAGTGATAAAAAATACAAAGTAAAAAACAATGGTAAAAGGTTGTAAAAATTGTGATAGAAAAGGTTGTACAGTAGGTAACTTTTCCTGATAAAACAAAGAAAAGAGTAAAATATCACATTTATCAATGTAAAGAATGTAAAAATTGTGTTAAAATATCAAGAAAGGACGAAAACGGTTATCAGTGTCTTAATTGCAGATATTTATTTAGTACAACTAAATGCACTTACAAAAATACTATTGCGTGTGCGTTTTCTTTCCCTTTCTCTCTGTGCTTTTAAAATGTAATCCGGGTTTCTAATAGCAAGAGTTCTGCGTCGTCTAGGGTCTAACTCGGGAAGTACACAATTTTTATAAAACTTTTCAAGTTTTTGCACCATCGTTTTACAGAAATTTTTATCGTAGTTGATTTTGTCAATTTTGATCCCTTTTTCTGTCCAAATGCCAAATATGCAATATTATCTCCGGGTAATATGTAGTTGCCTTGTATTTGGTAAAAATAAGGGTGCTTTTTGTTAACTGACATTTCACCCTTTTTGTCTAACTTATAAACAGTTATAAGTTTGTCAAAGATTTCTTCATCTGGTGTCATGTCACGAGCAGAATACAGGCATTTTAACTCTACTGTTCCATCATCACCAATTAAGCCATCAGGTGTAGTACACAAATATGGGTGATCCAGATCAATAAATAATCCACATTTGCTAATTTTTACACCAAGTCCATTTATTATGGCGAAAATTACATCATCTTCATGATTTTTACCCCATTTTGCTAGGGTAATTATTTTTCTGGTATCGTACAACATTAAACTAACTGCTTGTATAGGGCATAGGCGTGCAGAGACTTTAGTATTAGAGGGGGCCATTAAAAATGAATTCATATCTTTAATGGTGGGAGTGGGATAAAAAACTTTATACCCTAAACTAAACTATATATTTAATCAGAAATAGCTACACTATATACATATAGGTACATATTAATTCGCAAAAAGTCTGAAATATCTAGATGTACATTTTTTGTAAAATTAACGTATGTATATACCTATTACCGCGACTTCATAAACGCATTCGTCGAGTAGAACCAGTCATATTCTTAAAATAGTCAATTACTGATTCGACATCAACATGAACGGCACTGTCTTGTTCTATATACAAAAGAAGCAATGCATCAAGACGGTCTTGTCTCATTGTACTTCTCAATTTATTTTTTACTTGAGCCATCTTTGAAAATGATCGTTTGCAAGAACAACTTGTAACCGGAATTGTGGTAAATTTTTGAAGTAGTACTGAGAATATACATGGAAATACACTACTTCTTGCTTTATTTTCTTCCGTCATCCAAAGTAACCATTTTTGTACTGAACTTCCTCGTAAAGACGGATTAAATTCTTTCAGAATTGCTTGTTCAGCTAATATCTCGTCAGTTTTAATTTCAAACATAATTGAAATTACTTTCCGCATTATCAGGATCACAATTAAAATAAAGAAGTTGACCCACACTACATACAAGTTGCATTGATTCCTGACTGAATCTTTCATTAAGACCAGAAATTAGAGATTCCAAGAATGGGTAAAGTGTGTATTCTTAGTTCATCTTCTTTTTTTTCAAAATGATTGTGACCTTCTGGGTTATCGTCTATTCGTCGTGAAATTTTTCTTCTTTTTACTTCAGGAATTTCAACTTCTAACAGAACACATTCGTCTTGAATGTTTGAAAAAATCGACGCAAAGTAGGCTGAATTGTCTCGGTATGTTTGCAAAGTTAATTTTAAGTTGTTCACACTATCTGCAGCAGTTAATAAATTAATTTCTTCGGACTACAAGTCTTTGTTAACTTTCAGTATAATTTGTAAAATAGGATTAACAATGTGAAGACATGCAATGAACTCGAAACTTTTTAACTGAAAAAGCGAACCTCGTCCTTTTGCTCTTATAACTGCATGTGTAGTATTTTGGAGAATATCTTCAATTGCTAATACAATAGCTTTATAATTTTCTTTTATTGCGCTCACAGCTTCAGCTCGACATGCCCATCTAGCGGTTGAAAGTGATTTTAGATGTTTCACAGAATTGTTCATTTCTTTAGCAATTGTTTCAAAAACAGCATGTCTGACACAGCTCCCCTCGATAAAAGAATACGTAAATTGAACAACTCCAAAGAAATCAAATATTAATTTGTTTCCCCTCTGGGAACTGCATGCAGCAACTAAAGCAAGATTCAAACAATGTGCATAGCAATGTACATACAAAATCTTGCTATTGTTTTCTTTACATGTTGCTTGTACCCCAGATAATGTCCCAGCCATAGTAGATGCACCATCAAAACTGCCAAAACATTTTTCCATTCAATGTTCATAAAATTTAAGACCTCATTAAGTTCTGAATATATAAATTCAGCATTAAACCGCCTAATAAGTCCCACAAATGTTTCCATAGGCATATTTGTTTTGACATCAAAATGTCTCACCACCACTGACATTTGTTCATGATGACCACCATCAGAAGTCTCGTCTGCAATTATTGACACCATTTGACCATTCAAACGGTTTCTAATTTTTTCTATAACCACATGGTAAACTGACAATATAAGGTCATTTTGAATTCTGTTGCTAACGTACGAACAATTTTTTGGGCCTTCTTCTAAATGTTCCTTAATAAGAGGATCATATTTTGAAAGTAATGAAACTAAATCTAAAAACAAGTCTTTCTCTAAATTTGTTTTTGATTCATTTTGCCCTCTGAAAGGACGTCCTCCTTTAGCGAGACACAAAACAATATCAATAAGCCTTTTCATTATGTCGCGATTCTTAATTCGTTCTTGTTCTCGTAATGATCTAAAGTTTTGGCACTCGCTATCCAGAAGCTCATCTACTCCCTTAACCTCATCATATTTTTTCCATACACTAAAACTGTGCATGTGCCCTCGAGTATGCTGATGTAATTTAAATTTTTCGACACCTTTTCCAATTTTTAAAACCCTCTTTAATAAAAGCTAAATCTATATGTCCTTTTGTTGCTGCATCGTGCATGGAAAAAAATCTACAGCAGAAACAGTACGCAGCATCCTTTACAGTGCTATATTCTAACCAGGGAAAATTGTCGTACTAAGAAATTTGAAAATTTCTGGATCGCTCTCCAAATAAACTTTTTGGAAAACATTTTAATTTTGGTTGATAGGGACCTTTGCGTATTAAGGCATCACGTTCAATACGATCAGCAAGTATCGGATTTGACGGGTCTTCAACCGGTTGTTGTTTTTCTATAAATAACAGCGTAAAATTAGATAGATCTACATAGTCGAATATAAAAAAAATTGGTTAAGGTTATTTTGACAAAACTTCCCTCGGCCCTAATCCCCCGAAGTAAAATAAAGCATATCCAACTTTTCCGAAAAATGATAAATTTTGTGTTTTTTTCAATTATTTCTGTACATTGATATGACAACTATTAGGGGGGGGGGGGGGGGCATGCCCCCCTTGCCCCCACCTGTGTGCACGCCTGGTATAAGGTAACATATTACCTACATATTTTTATTCCAAAAAGGAAAGATCCGATTCGTTTTCTTCTAATTTCTTGCCACAATGGAGCAAAAACGATTTGGGGTAAAAAATTCACGCATAGAAAAACTGAGATTATTCCAGTTGGAATTTCTACGTCATTTAACAATGTTCAGTACATCTGAGAAAGTGTTCTATGGCGAAAACTTTGTTGAAAAGCCTGTGACTGCAACCCACAGAAAAATTACAATACACCCATCTACTAATCAACGAAGGCCAAAAGTCTTCGGACGGGCAGGCAGGGTGTTTCGAACTCGTTCGACGATATGTTTTCTTGTATTTAATAAAAGGAATGATACGGATTTCGAACGCGTCCGGTGAATTGATATTTGAATGATACGTTGAAATAGATAGGATGACTGATAAAAGAACCAGCGGACTGTCGTTACAGATTAGAGATGTTTATTTCCCGAAAGCTACAGGTAGAATCCCCGTTTAAGGCGGGTGGTGGCCAGACTTCCCGTTGAGGGTGGGGAGAATCAAAACACGTACCCCCAGTACTGGCTCTCAACACAGGGGGTACCTCCAAAAAAAGAGGCACTCCCAAAACGCATCACCAAAAGCATCATCACAACCATCTACTATGTACAAGCTTACCATTTAATAATGTGGAGCTTCCCAGACAACCACTTGTACTCACGCAAGAAAAAGGGGTAAAACTGCGACTTAATGATTTTGTAAACTGTACTATTGAGTTTCGGACCGAAGGAGAGAGCGTTAGAAGACTTAGATCCTTTGTAAGAATGGTTTAATAGTAGTTTTTACTTTATATTGTCTTATTCTAGGTCTAGCTCCAGTGATTTGGAAAATGAACTCGGAGATAACAAAGCGGAAACTGGAACTCATCCCTTGTAAACCAAATTTAAAAGTTATTTAAAAATTATATTTGTTTAATAAGAAGTCTAAAAAATGTTTGACTGTTTTAATGAATAGACCTTTAAACATAACAGATTCCTTAAAATTTTGACTTTTTTTT